TTTGGGTTGCTTTATTTTTCCTTTCCAGATCCGAATTGAGCTTATCATTACTTTTTCTTAATTTCTTCTCATTTTTTCCTTTCATTTTTTCTTTCAGCTTTTGTGCTTTTAACTTTTCATCTTTCAATTTATCAATATTATCTTATTTTATCTTTTATAATAAGATATTATAGTTTTTCATTTGATCAGGTCAAATAAATTTTTGTAACTCTTCAAATTATTTTTCTAATTTAAATTTAAATTTTCATAACTGCTAGTTTTTTATGGTATTAAAATGAAAGTATTCTTCTTTACAAAAACAATATCATTAATGCCATATTTTTCTGTTTTTCTATGTGACAATATTATTTTTGACACTTAATTCCATATCTTTCTGTTTTTCTATGTGCAGTGACAATATTATTAATGCCATATTTTTTTTCTATTAATGCCATATTTTTCTGTTTTTCTATGACAATATTTTTCTACTAATGCCATTTTTCTGTTTTACTATGTGACAATATTATTTTTGACATTTAATGTCATTTTTATGACATTAACTCCTTCCACATGGCAAAAACATTACTAATAATGCCATGCTTTTTCATGTGTTACAAAGTTATTTTTACACATACTGCCATTTGTATGGCATTAAGTCCATATGATGGCTATTATTACTTTGCAAATCCAACATTTATAATGTCATAAAAGTGTCAAAATGATAATAAGATTCATATCCCTGTTTGGAGATAAACCCCATTAAAACTGGTATTCAAATGATCATATAATATGTTGAATCCTTTTTTCCAGTTTTAAGATCGGTGGTGGTGGCGCTAGAAGAGACGTAGTGCTGAACAAGGAGGCAGTGGCACTCTATGGCATCTGACGGCGGTGACTGGCGGCAGAGGCATCTAGCAATTGTGACGCCGGCAGAGAAGAGACGGTAGTACCGATGGAGATTGCGGCGACTGGCGGCGGTGGCTAGAGACTAGCGGTGGTCGGCAACTGGCGGTGGTGGACGCCGGCGACTGGTAGCAACAACTAGTGCAGGTCCTCAGCTTGTGGCTTGGGTGTGCGTGAGGGACCTACCCACCGTTGTGTAGAGCTTTCAGTTTATTGTCTATTTTGAATTTGTATTAAATTAATCAGATTAATCATTAAGGGTACTTTTGTCAACACATATTTTTACTCCTACAGAATTGAACGGATTGTTGAAGTCCTAGATTTGCACTTTTGTTATATTTTAGTCTTACTTACGGAATTAACTCTTAGAGAAAATCCCCACTTTAGGAGTAAAACATACTGAGTATGTATTAAATGTGCAAAAGTAGGGCTCCTATCTTCACGATTAGTTTGCCATACGGAAATTATTAGTAAGGGACAAAAATGCCCTTAATGAATACTCCAACTTATTTAGTGAGTATAAATATAAAATAGAATAATGAACTAATTAATGCATTACACAACAAGCACTGATGTATTTTTCCTTCCCCAACCACAAGGTGTCGCAGGCACACCACCCAGGGGGGCAGCACTTGCACCAGTAAACGCCACCAGCTGCCGCTAACCTCCGTTGGACGCTGGCACTAGATGTCGGGCATTGCCGTTGCCGGATGCCGCCAGTCTCCACCGGTCACCACCGTCGCCGGGCGCCATCAGTCTCCATAGTCACCGGACTCCGCTACCACCACCATCTCCGCCGCTGACTCCTTCCAGAATGACCACCGGCCATCTCTATTTTTGACACCGTTATCTCCACCCCTAGCCTCTTTTGGCTCCAGCATCTTAAATCTGGAAATTAAGAATGCTTTAGAATGACATCTCATCCCTTGAATCTCATAAGATGACATTCATATTAAAATAGAAGAAGTTTCATTGTCATTTTGACATTTAATGACATTATGATTATTATATCCGGAAGTGTCATATATTGCCATCATCATGGAGATAGTGCCATACAAATGGCAATAAGTGCGAAAATATTTTTTTATATTAAAAAAATATGACATTATGAATATGGTATTTGCCATCTTGATGAAGTTAATATTAAAAAAAGCATTGTGTATCGAATAATGTTTTTACATGAAAAAAACATGTCATCATTAGTATATTATTTACAAAAAAGTAATATTTGAATCTTAACACCATAAAAACACTTTAAAATGGCAATTATGGCAATTTCATATTCAAACCAGAAAATAATTTGTACAAAAATATTGATTGAAATTAAATGTAAAAACTTAATTATATTCTGTAATGTAAAATACAAATTATTTCAAAATAGCAATTAGAAAAAGAAAATGACTATTACTCAACCGAACTAACTCAAAAAAGAAATTAAAAGTCAATCTTTCAATTGAAAGAGGAAAAACGAAAAATCAATAAGAACTTAAAAACAGACGGTCTAGAAAGAAGAAAATTAAAGCTAAAAAAATCAATTGGTTTTAATCAAACACCAAGCCACCAACTTTCGTATGAAAACATAAAGCTCCATAAAGCTCCACCTTACTGCCGATTGAATTAATAGAAGAGAAAAGAAGAAGGGGTATTGAGAAGAAAAGGAGGAGGAGAGGAAGAAGAAGAATGAAGAGCAAGAGATTAAAACTTACCTGTGAGAATCGCCGATCAGCGTCGTCCGCCAGTGACCGGAGTTGGGGGAAAAAATCGCTATTGAAGTCTTTGTAATATGCATCGGAGATGGAGGAGTGAAAGAGAATTAGAAATCAGATCTGAAAATGGATGTGAGAGAGGAAGAGGAAGATGAAAAGTGAGAGGGGTGGGTGGAGGGTTACATACTAACGTGAGAAAAATCTGACATAGAAAAAGTAAGTTGGCAAGATAAAGGGCATGTTTACTTTGGACTTAATGAGCTGAATAAAATTATTGACTTAATCATCCAGTTATATACTTCTGTTTATTTAGGACTTAACTTAACACGTGACTTATTCGCTAAGTCAATTTACGACTTAATGGTTCAGCTTCATTTTAACAATGCTTGCCGTTCAGACTTGTCAGCCTCTACCGAATGCCCTCTTTAACCTTATCATTGCACACAACATCACTCTTGGCTACAAACCTGCGGAAATCCACGACCTGACCATCTTGCGAGCTTTCACAGTACCAACTAAGAAGAACATCAAAGCCTAACTTCATCTTGGTATTTTCTCTCATCTTACATCTTTTATTCTATTTTTCTTCCTTATTCTCGATCTACCTAGTTCATAATTCCTATAGATTGGTAAAATTTCACAAATTCAACTTAATTTAGAGATGTCATATTCTTCAACCTCATTTTATGTGGTCTTTTTTTATTGGAGTCTCTCATATATGATATTTTGATATAAGATTAATATGTTCTTTTTTTTTAAGGAAAGAAGGCTCTGCACTTTCTGCAGTTTATTAGGCAGCAACGCAATTGTTTGGTTTGTGTATTTGCTACATATTTTATATAGAACATGAAACATTGTATTCTTAGGTTCTGGTTTTATAATGTCTATGAAGTATTTGTAAAAATGCCTCACTAAAAAATGATCATGAGAAATTACTTTTGTAAAAATGCAATATTGATTTAGTAGTTCCTATACTAAGCTGTTTTATTTAAAGTAGCAACTCATCAACTGTTTTGTTGAATATAACTTCTTGTAGAAAGAAGATTATTTTGGGATTGGTATTCAACATTGTTGAATTACAAAAAAAAAAAAAGATTTTCCAGAAAGGTCTTCCAAAGTAATTCATCCTGAAAGAAAAAAAGAAGTATAAGGGGTACAAATATTATGGACAACCTGAAATCGTTAGTTTTCATTGTGCTGAAAATTGTTTTTTTCTTAATTTCTTATACTGAAGCATTACAATTGACTTCATATTTGTTAGCTTCTAAAAATGGTTTCTAATAATCTTTTGTACTCCGTATTTCATGTACTGGTTTAGAGGGATGGTGCAATTACTTTGAGGCCACATGCAAGTGTTCTAACAGGCTGTCTTTTTAAACCTTATTTTGATTTCATTTGGGATGTAGCGAGTATGTGTGCTGTCATAATCAAGTTCATTATGCTCTGGTTAGTTATGCTCCGCCTTTACTCTTGTATTTCGAAGGTCATCATTCATCAGTTCATCACTTGACATTTACAGATGGAGAGCTCTAGCTACAAAAGACCAATTTATTCATCTGAGTAGCTCATGTCAAGACTGTCTGCAGCTAGTAGAACAAATTGTAGTAGTTTATGTTGTGTAATTATTTCATAACACAATGTGAATTTTGTATTTTTGTTAGTTATGAATTACGATTAATGACATATGTTTGATGTTATCATAAATGTTAGTTTGCTGGTATTGAATTGTAATATAAAATGCAGCGATTAAAATAATGTAAATAATGATTTTTGGAAAGAGTCAAACAGGTTTTATGTACATGAAAACATTTTTTATGGGTTTGCTCAGTCCCATGTAAAAGAACCTACAATAATGGTTGATGTATACCTGTTTAAATTGTTGTTCTCACAAAGTGTTTGACTTTTTCTTATTAAGTAATGTGACATTTTATTTAAATAATTCATAGTACGTATATTATTATTCTAGGCATATGAAATTATTGTTCAGAACAAGAAAAGTAAACAGTCAATATACATTCAGATTTTGTCCTAGACAGGAGGGTTATTTGGTCATTTGATATGATTCAGACATCTCATTCAGCTAACTTAGTAAACAGTTTGTTATCTTAGTTTCACTTAATCCAGATAGACAACTTAATGCAGACAGACGTCTTAATCCACCCAGCACTTAATGGAAAAAAAGTAAACAGCCCCAAAGTAAATTAATTTATCAAAAGGGGGTAAAATTGGCAAAAGATACGGACGAAATAACTGATGGCTTCTATTTAGGGAATCAATCAATAAGGACTCCTATTTTGGAATTTTATCTATGTTTTACTCCCTTTTAGGGTAATTACTTAATAAACTAATTAAAGAGTTGTCATTCTTAACTAATTTCTAGTCAAACTGTTTGCCAAACTCCCAAACATTCGTATCTCATCTCATACACCAGCTCGTCTCTCAATAAAAAATAAAGCTTGAAATTTAGAATGATTTTATTGAGATTGAAATTTTTTCGTGTGGAATAGTTTGATCTTAACTGGTTTGGCAGCTGCCCCCAACAAACTTCTACTAGCTTCTTTTAATTTAGTAAGAAATATCTCCAACCCAATACAATTGCCCCCAGTTAAAAAATAAAAATGCCCCTATATACCTAGCTCAATTGGCAGGAAGATGGGGGTGTTGGGATGCATAGGGGTGATTTCCCCGTTCCCGTTCTACTACTGGCTCTGGACTCGTCCTCAAGCATGGGTGGATCTTTGCGGGGAACTGCGAGATCCATCTCACGCCATGGCCATGGTTTCTCACGCGCTCAAGCTCCTCCAGTTCCTCTCCCTTCTCTCCGTCTCCTCGCTTTCTTGGCCCCCGCCTCTCTTCTCGTTTGGTCAGTTCCTCAACTTCAGGGTATACCAATTGTTAGGAGAGTCAGGGACCTACTATGGTGTTCGGTTTGGGAAGAACATTCCGTGGGTGACACAGTTTCCATTTGGAGTCATAAGGGATCCACAGTACGTTGGTAGCATATTAAGCCTTATCGCTTGTTTGCCATGGGTCCCTTTCTCGTATATCCTCCTTTGGATCCTCGGCTATGTGTTTATGATTTATGCAGAGTCTAAGGAAGATCCATCAACTCGTGCTAAGCCATTGAACCAAAACGATGTAAGGAACTAGTTATGAGGCGTGGCCGCGTTTAAGGTGACCTAGCTCAATCATTCAATAAGCCCAAAAGCCCAAATAATCCAAATTTCCAATGCCCAAATTAACAATTCGTACTTCCCAGCTGCCAACACTCCCCAGCAGATAGCAAAGTAATTGACCAAATTGGCAAATCCCTAGCATTAGAAGAACAGAGTCTGCGGCTCGACTCACCAGCGTCGAGCGGAGTGGAGCCTAGAGTCGACGAGCGGTGTCGTTGCCTGATTTCCTAAGCTTGCTCAGTGGCGTCATGGAGGCTCAAGGCTGGACAGCAGACGATTAAGGCCTTTAGTGCAGACCAAAAGGGAGAAATAGCAGCTAGAACTCGAGAATGGCGTCCAGAAAATCGAAAGCTCCGGTTCCAAATTCCAAAAGTGCAGGTTTCTCTTTAAACTTATTGATTATTGAATATTAACTAATAACTATTTGACTAATATATGTAATTTGTATTTGGTATTATTGTATGCTTTATTTTTTGTTTTAACTTAATGAGTTAATGGTTAATGGGTAGATTAGCGTTCTGCCATTTTACCTTGATGTTGTAATCATGTAATGTTTTACTTGTTTAGTTGTTTAGACATGATAAATATTCATTAATAAAATTTATCCAGCTTTATTAAAAAGTTAGTCAAAATTAATAATCAGTATTAAAAATTAATAATCGTCAATCCTAATCCTAATTCCTAAATAGTATTAGGATTAAAGAATTAAGTTAACTAGTAAATTAACTACGCAAATTATATTTTTATAGCTAAAAGAAGGTGTAAGATAATAAGATATATAAAGACTACATTAGTTACCAAAAAAACTGATTTATTTTTTTTTATCAGCTTTTATGGGCAGATTTTTGAGTAAAACATCCTCCTCAACACCCTCCTCAACACCAGGAAGTTCAAGTGTAAATGTGTGTAATATTACTTCTCAATGTCATAATCCAATGTCTCAAGAAGTCAATTTGGATGACCTTCCTTCGGACCCCGCAAAAAGAAGAAAAAATTCTGAATATCATCCTAATCAAAGGGATGAAATTCGAAGAAAATATCTGATTAAAGGTCCTTGCCAACCACGTGGTCATGACTTCCCACAAAAGGAAATCGGGAATACTTTGAAACGGTATAATTCTAAATGGTTTGATAAATACCCTAGCTGGTTAGAGTATAGTATTCAAGATGACAAAACTTTTTGTTTATGTTGTTACTTGTTTAGAGATTATTTTGGAAATCGTGGTGGGAGTGATGCATTTGTAAGTGAAGGCTTTTTAAGTTGGAACAAAATTGAGAGATTAGGTTATCATGTGGGTGAAATAAGTAGTTTTCACAACATAGCAGTTAAAAGGTGTGATGCTTTGATGAACCAAGATCAATCAATTGCAGTTGCAATGGATAGAAAAAATGAAATTGTGAAAAATGAGTACCGTATTCACTTGAATGCTTCTATTGATGCTTCGAGATTTTAATTGCATCAAGGACTCCCTTATCGTGGTCATGATGAGTCTGAAGTAACTAACAATAGAGGGAATTTTTTGGAATTGATAAAGTATACCGCCACTCAGAATGAGGCGGTTAGTAAGGTTGTTTTAAAAAACGCTCTGGGGAATAATCAAGTTATTGCTCCAAGCATTTAAAAAACGCTCTGGGGAACACTTTTGAATTTGGTTGAATTGTTTCCATCTGTTGTTGAGGTCCTTGAATATGTCGAAATTGAAGGCATTGATAGTGTAAAAAGACGTCAAGCAAACGGTCTTTTAAAATACTTTCAATCCTTTAATTTGATTTCGTCTTCTATTTACAATTGATGTTGCTTGTTATGGGACTCACAAACTCTTTGTCAGTTGCTCTTCAAAGGAAAGATCAAGATATACTCAATGCTATGTCATTAGTAGAAACAACAAAGCGGCAATTGTTAAAAGTTAGAGTTGATGGGTGGGGTTCTCATTTGAGAAAGATCTCTTCATTCTGTGAGAAGTATGAAGTTTCAATGCTTGATATGGAAGCAAACTTTGTTAACCCCAAGCGGCCACGACAAAGAACTAATATTACCTATCAACATCATTATGAGTTTGAATGTTTTAATACTGTTATGGATTTGCAAATCAAAGAATTTGAGGATCGGTTTGATGAGGTAAATTCTGAATTGCTTACTTGCATGGCTTCTTTGAGTCCGATTGATTCTTTTCGTGAGTTGGACCCTTTGAAATTGATGAGGTTTGCTGAGTTTTATCCAGAGGATTTTAGTTGTGTTGAACGCAGGAGCCTTGAGCATGAGCTTGGTGTTTACATTGATAATCTCCTAGCGGATGAAAGGTTTCGTAACTTGAAAAGTCTTGGTGATCTTGCTCAAGTGATGGTGAACACAAGAAAACATCTTTCACACCCTCTCGTATATAGGCTTTTAAAGCTAATTTTGACTTTGCCAGTTGCCACTGCAACTATTGAGAGATGCTTTTCTGCTATGAAAATAGTGAAGACTAATTTGCGTAACAGAATTGGCGATCAGTTTCTCAGTGACTGTTTAGTTTGTTTTATTGAAAGAGATGTATTTGAAACAGTAACAAATGAAACTGTAATTATCTCTTTCAAAAAATGAAAACTCGAAGAGAGCAGTTGTGATTTACTTTATTTGTGCCTTTTGACATTGTAATATACTTTATTTCATTATAATGTTCTTTTGCTACAACTATTTGTTGTTCACATATATTTATCAAGTATTTTTACTTTATATTTTCTTTATGTTCTTCATCATACTCTTCCCCCAACACTTTCATTTCCTGGATCCGCCACTGGATAGATCGATTTCTATTTTATGTATACATAGTATGTTGCAACAGTAAAAGCTTGAGTGATTCTGATATTGATCAAGTTTGATTTGATCTAATTTATTTAATAAGTTTGTGATCTGGAACTGAAATAATTCAATTAAAACATGATTAGACTCTACAATTGGCAGTTTTGTGAGTGGCCAGCATGAACTACGTGTGCATTATTGCAGTGCAACTTTGGCGATAAATCGATAATAGTAAGATTTAATCTGTTTTGAAAATGCCGCTTTTATCAAATGTTTTGCATTGTTAAATTTATACTTCGTATATTTTGTAAATCCATTGTTCGATATGATGCATTTAGTTTAAACTTATTTTCACATTGAATCACCTTCTTATTTTGAATGTAAACTTATTTTGAATACTCCGAACGTGTAAAACTACAACTTGAAAAACAAAAAGTAAAGATTTTGAAGTTCTAAAACCTACGACGTACTAAGTACTCCTTCCGTTCTCTAATACTTGTCCCTCATTTCATTTTGGGATGTTCTCTATTAGGTGTCTCTTTTTGCATTTTTGGTAAGTTTTTTCAATAAATATACTCATTTACCCTCATTCTCTTTCCTACCTTTTCATTCTTTTTCCTACTTTTTCCTGTACACACAACTCACTACACCTTTTATCATATCCCTATTAATTTCTTCTTAAATCTTGTGTCAAAGCATATACTCCCATTTATTAGAAAACAGAGGGAGTATCATTTTCGTACTTGATTTGTGTTTGTGTATATACTCCTCAAATATTTATATCTTTATTACTTTCTAGTAATAAAAAACACGATTTTTTTTAGAAAATAGAGGGAGTAATTATCCAAACAAATTAAATATCGAGAAAGCTAAGAGCATCTCCAATGCTACAATGTGCACAGTGCACATGTGGCATGAGAGAGATAGACACAAAAATGCATTGATGACATTTCTCTCTCATTCTTTTCACGGTTTTATGTGTTTTTGGTAAGTTTTTCTCTGCAATGTCAAGCACAATGTCTACATCTAGACATTGTGCTTGACATTGTGAAGAAAAACTTACCAAAATATAACAAAATCCTTCAAATAAGGAGATAGATATTCTATCTATTATTTTTAATTGGCCATGTGGCATGCCACATATGCACCGTTCACGTTTTAGCATTGGAGATGCTCTAAGGAAGGTCACACGTACATATATTTGAGATAATTGTAACTGCCCAACGTGTGGGGTATTTGACCGGTCAATTCGTTATTGTACAGATCCAAGCTCCACAAGTTTGGTATGTAGCCAAACGCCTCAGGTATCGTACCACTCCGGTGATGGATCTAGGAGAAGATGGCGGGTGGCTGGGTGGCGGCGCTCGTGGATCGAGAGGACGGCGAATGTTGGCGTCAGTCTGAGCGGTGAGTGCGATGAGAAGACGTGGGCTGGGGGTGGCCGGACAAGCAAACGATTGATTGCACTGGTGGCCGCCGGTCGCGCTTCTGGACAGCGGCGGACTGTGGGTTGTGGAGCGGCGCCCCAGTACCAAGGTCGGGGGGACGACTGGCCAGCAAGCCACGTTGCGTTTGGGTCGGCAACTATGCTCCTAGGCCAGAGTTCTGTGGGAGGCGCGCGGCGGCGCTGGATGGTGGGCGGCGGTGCTGGACGGTGGGCAGCGACCTGCACGGTTGGCTGCAGTTGGACGGCGGCGGCAGCGGGGCGGCTGCGCGGCTGGGCATTGGAAGGTTGTAGCTAGGGTTGTAGAAAAGGAATAGGAGGTTAGGGTTTTATAGGTATAAGCTTAAGGGTTTTTTTGTCCATACAATTTTTTGTTATTTATTAATTACAAATTTTAAATAAATTTTTAATATTAGTTTGATACAAAAAACTAATTAGGTCATAGATTGGGAAACTCATTAAATTCTACTTAAACATCATTCATGCAGCCGTAATAGCACCAAAACGGATATGTATTAATTGATAATATTCACTTTCCTTTTATTTATGCATGCACATCTGCATATAAAGACAATTGGTTCTCCATGACTAAGAGCATCTCCAATACTCTTCTTTTAACCTTAAATTCTTTTGCCACATCATCAATTAAAAAAGTGTGATATATATATATATATATATATATATATATATATATATATATATATATATATATATATATATATATATATATATATATATATATATACTAGCATTGGCACGCGCGTTGCGCGAGGGTCAATGCCCAATGGCGAAAAATGGACTGTAAAATGAGTAAAAGTATCAACGAAAAGAGCAAAAAAACAATAGTTTAACATTGTCAAATCAGCGGAGCGCAATTGCAAAAGAGCAACAATAACGAAAAATCATTTTTCGTCCTAAAAAAGAGCTTAACATGATTGTTTCAAGCACGACACTGGGAAAGAAACCTCATAAGCAGGTGCATAATACATAATCTGAACAAGCGAACAATAGAGGATCAACTAAAAAGACAATGAATTAGTGAAACACACCTCACTCTGATAAAAGCCGCAATGAACTCAGTACACAACAATGTGGTTTCAAATCCTTTTGGTTATACCCTTAAAATGTTAGTAAAAGATCAAACATCATAGTTAAACGAAAATGATCCCATCTCGAAAATAACAGAATGTGTTGGATCTAGAAATCAAAACATCTTCCATAATGTGTAGATTTAGGCATAACAATAATAAAAATTGAGAATACCTTTAAGTGAAATCCTAGTTTATGATATTCAGAATACCTCTAAGCCAAACCCTAGCTTATCAAAAATGGTTTATAGGGACTGATTGACAAAATGAAATAGTATACAAGATGTTTATTAATCAATTACATTAACATAATACATTAACTATCACGCAGAAGTCTTTGCATTGGCTATTATAATTAATTTGACCATCCTGAAACAAAAACAAAAGCGAAAAAACAGAACACAAAAAAAAAGTTTAATTATACTTGGGTTGGCTTCATACGGAATTCAAACAGGTTCAATCTTAGATCCTTGCCACATTATTGAAATGATAACTGCATTGCAAAATTAAGTGAGTACAATACATCATGTTTATTTGAGGATTGTACCAGAGTGATTATTTTGTTATGTATTATTTCTCACAATTGAAATGATGTACATACCCCATTAGTATGTGCAGTTGTAATTCATGGATGGGAAAGGGGAATGGGGCAGGCCTAGGAGAAACTTAAGGGTCTCATATTGCTCACTACAGCAAAACAGGAAAACCAAATGGAATTTGTCTGAACCTTGCTCCTTTGTTTATGGTTGATCTAGAATGCTATTATAGTCTCTGGAGTTAGCGAGCAATGGTCAGACTACTACACGAATTTGTACTCTACTATTATGCTATACGAATTGGTACCAAATAGTGAATATTTTAAGTAGGGAATGAAATAGACTAAGAAAACCAGAAATTGAATCCATCAAAGATAACACAAATACCTTTTGTCACCCCATGTGTGATTGACTTAAAAGATTGGGAACGGCATCGGCAAGTGCGGCTTCGAGAATTCTGGCAATCACACACTGATTTTCCTACATATTCAGTCTATTGGAAACCACCAACAACAAGACCCTTTGATTTTATTTAGAGATGGCCACTTGTTCTTTCTGGTACTGGTTGCTTAAATGTAGGCATGGACAGTACCCTTCGACATCTAGCTATTTTAAGAACACTCTCTTCTGAAATGTTTCTGCCATCCATCCTTATTTCAACAATCTCGTGAACTTCTCTCTAGCAGTAACTCTAGCATATGGCACTTAAATTGGGAAAGCAAAGAGCGTAGATTGGAAACCATTTCTTTTCCTTAAATAAAAGATAACATTGATCTGAAAAACCTCTATTACAATATGAAAATAGTTCAAACAGAGAGAAATAGTTGTTAAGCAAATGAAGTTCTGGGGAAATGTACCCTTGGGTTCACCCATAGCAAGAGCCCTAACATGCTCACCTCTTTTGAGCACAATCAGCTCTGCATTTCATGCTAACAACATCCAATCCAAACAATAATTGTGGGCAGTGAATGCAAGCTGTTAATGTAAACTGTTAATTACACTTAATGCAAATTGTTGATTCAAAATCTAATGTGAAAAGTGAAATGAAACCGTATTCAAAAAAAAATTAATTATAAAAGGGCACATGCTCGAATATGATACTTACTTGCCGAAGCAGGTAATTGCTAGCTTCTTTTCGATGCAATTTGAGAACATATTTATTATACTTCTTGACATATAACTGCTATGATCTCAGACTCTTTTAGAACATAGATACTCAACCCCTGACTTGTTTACCTGCAAAAAAAATGGAAAAGGAGTCAGGGTTTTCTTATTGGATGAATTTCTTATATTTATAGTTGAAACCTGGAAGTAATTAACTATGGTCTCTGAAAATGCTAGGTAAAGGTAAAAACATATGTTAGAAAGTTACTCTAACAAAATGTTAGACAAAGCCTAGGATGGGTGTCTTATCTGTGACATTGCAAGAAGATCCTTTTCTGGGTTCCATTTGAGCTGGTCTTATCTGTGAACCAGGATTTGAGAAGAAAAAGAAGAATAAAAAGAAATAAAGGCTACAAAAAAGTAATTTAGTCGTGGACAAATAAGTAAATAATAGGAGGGACGGACGGACATATGACATACAAACGAAAGCAATAACAGAAGGTACACCTGGTTTGAATGATGTAGGCCAAACAATAAACACTGCATTAGTGTCACGCTGCATAAACCAAAAATCCCAAAAAACAGCCACACATGCACATAAAAAATATAGACAAAAGGCCTATTTACATTCACAACCACGGTGAAACAGAGCTAAGTTTCCATCTACAGGGTGTTCGCATACTATTAACACCCACAAGCAAAAATATTGGATGCCGCAGTGAGGAAAGGGTGCAAGCATATGCACAATACAGAAACAAGTTAAGCGACACCTGCTCTATTACTTCCTGCCTATTATACGTAACTACATGTGCCAAAAGGGGGATTGAGGGAAATGCAGGCATGCATCAGCTGCAAACAGTTTTTTCCTTTGAAGGCTGCATTGTCCACCTTATATCACAGCAAAAAAATTTTACACAGATCATCAAGTGTTGCTGGGCATGCATTGTTTGGGGGGCAGGCTCGCAAGTGTCTCCTCCGGAACACTGTCCTTTGCCAGGACCTGCTTGGACGATGAGGATGACTGTGTAGCAGTTAGCTCACCCAGGGACCCAAAGCTTAGTTTTCTTTTTGAAGGAGTTGACGGGGCAACTTCAGTGGGGAGCGGAACAGGGATATCAATTGGGGAGCCGGGGGTGGTTTTCTCGAAAGGAGCGACACAGACGATGGCGTATGGATTGCCGAGGAGACCCTCATCGTTGGGCCTGGACCGCTTCACCCCGGACACAACGGCAATGCTAAGCAGGTTTTCAGCTAAGGATTCCAGGTCGATGTCACTTGCAGGGTCCACCTTGACAAATTTCAACAGTTGCAGGACCTCGCTGGTGAAAAGTGTGACTGGTATAACGTTTGTTCCATCATCCAACGCAGCGTTGAGCCTAAACCTGCATTGTTCCTAATGTCAGCAAACAACTCTGAAGAAGTACAATGCATGTTGGAGGATAAATGTACCTTTTGACAGTTTTGCCGTTCTTCTGGCCGCAGAATAAACACTGGAAAACCACACCTTCTGTTCCGTGGACCTTGCGGTTGCAGTAGTCGCAACCAATGTAGGAGCCCTCTTCGGATGTATCTGACAAGCGGAACTTGCCAGACACCCATACAATGGGCGTCTGTGCAATGGGAGTAGGGAAGGTCAAGAATGAGCAGGCTGACTGAATAAATGAAAATTAGAATGGGTTTCTATTTTCAGCAGGGCATACCTCATTCAGGTCACCTTCCAAATCTGCAAGGGCAGTTAAAGGCTGGGAAAAAGGCTTGGCAATTACTGTAAGTGCGTCGTCATATGCTCTCGCTTGCAATAATTCATTTATTTTTTCTTTGTTTTCACCGACCCTGGCAGTATGAACAATAAAGTTGCAAAAGGACATTTCGACTGCAAGGTAAAGGGGCTACCGAACAAATGCATGGGCAAGTAAACGAACAACCTACCATTTCTTCAGCTGTAATGCCCGTTCTCCGTCAGGATTCAGTTCGATGTGGGAGTCAAAGCGAGTTGAAAGAGCCAGACCTGAGCGTTATAGTAAACCAATCATAAATATGAGTGCGCACAACATAAACAGGAAGGGCCATGGCAGCAGACAGTAAAGTTCACGGAGTTCACGGAGGTGATGTTTGTCTACCTTGGAAAAGGGTTATGGCAGCCCTGTTAATCAGCAGTAGAGGGAAATCACCAGCTTGCAAGTACTTCTCAATTTCACAACCATGACGGGTGATGAATTCCTCCCAGACAGTAAACGGTACTGGAATGCACCTATCAGAATAAAAAGCAAATATGAAATGAGTGCAGTGACAAGGTTATAACAACGAAGGCCAATTAAATGGACGGACTACTTACTGTGCATCAATGAGAACCACATCCCATGCTGGTTTCTGCACGCCATTGGAAAACACAAAGGTGCGCGGCAGTTTCTTGACAATTGCAGCCAAAACATCTGTAGTTTGGCATGGGGTAAGGATGCATCATCTAAACAAAAAGGCGTTATCGCAAATATACACACAAACAACAAAGGCTTACTGATACGTTCTTCGTGCAAATAAGCAGTGTACATCTCAGTAAAAGGGGTGGTATCTGCCTCAGCCAGCTGACGGAAGTCCCGACCTTCTTCTGCAGGAACATCTTGGATCAAAGTACGGCGTGTGAACGACCAAACATAAGGGTATTCTCTGTCAACACAGAAGCGCATGTCAGTGATCGCCTTCACATACGCATTTGAGACAAGATACGTCGAGTATAACGCAAGGCGTTGGTTTATCCCTTCAATATCACCCTGGAATGCAGTAGCCTGCACTCTGTTCCCCTGTTAACAGTAATCCAATAAATTAATCAGTCTGGGCATAGCAAAACTTAAAGACAGGAATACTTGGAATAAAAAAAAACAGAACGTACAGCAGCATCCATTAGTATCATCGGCATGAACTTCATGGGGGAAGCTTTTGCAGTGCGTACATTCTGCTTCTCCACGACTGTAACGCGGCAGGTCCATGGGCGGGTTTCTGGCATGATTGACACGATGGGCAGTTCAGCCGCCATATTGTAATGGGTCGCTGCGATATTTAGGCAGGCAGTTTAGTCAATCGCAGGTAAATAACGGCATAATCTGTGAGGATGAGATAAAACATACTACAAATAACTCAAAACCTAATTAATGAAAGGCATTATTTCTTCGAACACAATGTTTGGCGTCGTATGCGCCAAGGCTGGTTGGGGATCATCAGGACAAATAACAATTTTGATGGAACCTGCATTCCGAGCTCTTGACATTGCAACATAAAGCTGCCCATGAGAAAAAACAGGTTCTTTCAAATATATGCCAACGAAGTCGAGCGTTTGACCCTGTGACTTGTTAATTGTCATGGCAAAGCAAACTTTCACCGGAAACTGCGTGCGCTTAAATGGAACAGGGCATTTTTCATCTCGTGATACTTCTAGCGGGATTTTAGGAATGAACACATGTTTCCCTTTGTGGTCGCCCGTAGCGATGTAACAGCTCAGTATGTGATCCCCAAATGAATCGCAAATCAAACGGGTTCCATTGCATAAGCCATCACATGGATTCAGATTCCGAAGTAACATGATCGGGCTATTATGCTTTAAAGTCAATTTATGCGGGGGTAATCCAGTGGGGGACAAAGTGTGTAAATAATCTTCACAGTGTGCATTCTTTGAGTCAACAGGAACATCGTGGCTAAGGAAGGTATGTTCATCTCCAGGGAACTTACACATTAAGGATGCATTGATAAAATCCACTATGTCATTTTTGTCGTTAATATGGCGCGAGACATTAGAGAATAAGGGTCGGTTTGGAATAAGCATAGATCTGGGTATACAGCAGAAAACAGTAAGTCAAGTGAGACGGTTTCATTGACCCAAGGAATAACAAAGTTGGAAGGGACTCTTATCCGGCCAGAAGATACAGTGGGTTCAGTTGCATTGCCCATACGCAAAAGGTAGTCACAAAAGTCAGGGTCTTCATGGGCACGCATATTTTCGAAAAGGCGTAGGCGATGGACGTGTGGCCATATAGTCATTGATCTTAGAAGGCAAGCATCTACAAAGTCATGTCTAGTGCCTGAGCGGACAACAGGCAATGTCTGTCGAAAGTCTCCACCGAACACTATAACACGCCCTCCAAAAAGAGCATCAACGCCCAATATGTCTCGCATTGTGGTATCCAAACTCTCAACAATCAGCCGGTTCGCCATGGACACCTCATCCCACAAAATGAGGCGTGCCTCTCTAAGAAGGCGTGCTTCAGAAGATTGTTTGCCAATATTGCAAACATATTTTGATTCCCCATCAAGCGGAAGTTTGAATCGCGAGTGGGCAGTGCGTCCTCCAGGGAGTATCGATGCAGCAATACCTGAGCTCGCTGTTGCCAGTGCTATCCATTTGTTCACTCTGGTAGCAGCAAGTAAGCACCTGTACAGGAAGCTTTTCCCAGTCCCCCCAGGGCCATCAACAAAGAAGACGCCACCTTGACAAGTATGAACAGCCGCCATGATTGAATCAAATGCTGCTCGTTGGCAAGTGTTCAACGCTGAAATGCCATTTAGGTCCACATCACTGACAAGAATGTTAAGTTCTGCCAACACCTCACGCGTCCCCCTTTCAGTGGCATCTTCACGCAGCTCAATATCTACCAAATTAAAAGAGTCAATATCCTTGCCCATTCCAGTGAACAGATCACGCAATACCAACAGTGTAGTTTCCTCAGCAGCCGGGCTCGTTTGGAATCTAGCAAAGTCCTCACTCAAATGGATTTTGTATTCTTCCCAAAGCAAACGTGGGTTCGGTACGTCTGAAAAGCACATATGTGCTGCAAACAATTTGCGGAGGCTGCAAGGCAGTTGAAACAAGATTGCCTCATCAAGGGATGCCCGTATTACAAAATCACCGGACAACAGGCCCAGCGCTTCTGCTGCAGCTCGGTACGTTGGCATGGTATTGTTAGCAACACGTTTGAGATGCTCAAAGGACGTTGGGCATCTCACGTTTGCAAGCAAAAGCCGCAAATAATAGCGCTCCCCTTCTGTGGGATTCACAGACACAAGCCTGCCAATGACTTCATTTCTTTTGCGCTGAGTCCATTCCCTGCGTTGGGTATTCCAGACAAAGTAATGAGGGAATTCAACATAGAGAAGCTGCAAGGATTTCGCAACCTGGTTGTACATGTTCATGGAAAAAAACTGTGTGAGCATAGTTTTCTTTGAATCAGCGTCCTGCGTAATGTAGGTAATGCGTTGGTTGCCATAAAAGGTGAGATATTGAGAATTTTCCAAGTGGACTTGCATTTGAAGAACAGCAGGACGCATTTCTGAGATTGAGAAACCAAATATGCGCCACGCAGCCTCAGGCGCAGAAATCCATCGGGCTTTTTGGAAATCAGAAATTTCATCAATAACCTCATTTTCCCCTGCCTCTGATATTGCCATGCTGATCCTATCGTGGCCTTTGTACACATATTTGTATATGTATTTAACCGACCGCACACTTGCACAGGCCTCCACATTGATGTGGCAGTCATACTTGCGCAGCAAGTGGGCGTTATAGGGAACTACCCAGCGGTTGTCTAGCAAATGCTGCCTTACATGAACAGTGATCCCCGATTGACGACGCCTGTACGCAGGAAAGCAGTTATCATCAAACACGGTGTCAGGCGAATTACTGTGGGGGAATTTACTCCTGCATTCTGGGGGCCCTGAACCCCGTGACGGGACCATACAAGGACACTGCGGGTTCATCTCACCGCATGGTCCATGGATCATATGTTTTTTAACAAGGTCATACAGGCGAGGATCAATAGTTGGATCCGGTAATTCAGCAGTAATAAGTTGATCACATCGAAAAGAAGTTATTATTTTGCATTCTCTGGACAGTATAAGTAGGAAATGAGCATGCGAAAGACCCCTCTTCTGGAACTCGATGACATATGTGTACGCAACCACCTTGCCAAACAAAGATCTGGACACTATGTCTTTTTTAAATTCTTCAAGGCGGGCTCGGAACACCCGGGCGACAAGGTCAGGACGGTTTTGGGCTTCATCAACGAAGGACAGATGTTCCTTAATCTCAGGCCAATTCGGGTTGCAAGTGATGGTGATGAACAAATCTGGCTTGCCGTAATTCTGGACAAGCGCCATTGCATCCATGTAGCGAACCCGCATGTCACGTGGGCCGCCAATGAATGACCCTGGAAGGATTATACGGCGACCAACGTTAGTGGTGTTATCCAAACCTGCGCCTACGCTGTCAACTAACCCCTGGTACGTCTCACCGCGACATTCTCGCTGTTTACTACGATAATAATCAAGGCGCTGTGTTTCTATCTTAATATACAAGTCAACTATGTATTGTTGAAAGAGCCTACCAGAATGCATGACAAATGAGGTATCTCCATGGCGTATTTGCAATTTATATGCGTAATACTGTCGACAAGAAACAGAATGTCTCTTATTGCCCCCATTCAGCAATCGAGCTTCCTCCGCTATAAGCCTTTCATCTGTTGTAAAACGATTGGGTGCAACAGAGAGTGAGATTGCAGGGGCAGAACCTCCTTGCATCATGCCAGCAACACCTTTGGGAATCCCCTCATGCCACCCGACCTCTCCTCGTGGGAACAAAAGCGGATATTGCAGAGGGTCATAACAGCCGTAGTAGTAATGGATATTCTGAGACCTCCCACTGTGCGCATACACACGAATGTTTCTGTCAGCGGCCACGCCTTCATGCCCATCCTCGACCCAGACTGCAGCAACTTGAGATGCTGTGGGGCGGTTGTAAACACGCTGATCGAGACGAGGGTTCCCATTAAGCACAATTGAAAATTCGGTAGCCTGATCCACATCAGCCAGGGTTTTAAAGAATTGAGCATACGGGTTTGCGCACATCACTTCCATCAATGTCTGGACCACTTCAATGTCCAATCGATCCGTTGAATCCAACCTGTTCGCAAGCGCGTTGTCCGTATCATAGAAATATAGTTGAAGATTTCGAGGTGGACATCCATCGGGAAGTAAGTCATTTATGAAATGATATATTTGCCCTTGAACTCTAAATGTGTATATTCCCTGGTTTCGTCGACAGAGACTTTTGTCATAGTTGTAGATCCCGATGGATGTAAAGGCAAAAGTGTTGTTGTATGTTCGAACGCATGACTGAAAGTGTTTGGCTAAAGGGTCACGGGCTGTGAACAATCGGGCCAAAGCCGCTGGCATTTCTGTGGAGGATAGAACAACATCACCCTTGCTGCAGCACATACTTGCAGCCTCATACTGAAACCGCCGAGCACCGCACAACGCGCAATCAGGTACGGTTTGGAGCCGATACACGGTATTGCCAACCTGGGATGGGTTGCTGGAGCCCTCCGCAGAGGCGGGCACCGAAGATGTGACTACCAATGCAGAACAGTTCAGGAAGTCATCAAGTGAAGCCCAAAAAAGCACACACCGAGCGCGCAAACATTTTAAGAGTAAGGTAGCATTGTTTTTTTGAAAAACGAGATAGCCACGAAGGGGAAAAGAAGGCAGAGGACGGAGACAACAGCACAGCAAAGGCAGTAGTATGCAGAATACGCATTGTTTGTAGTTTTTTTTGGCAAATGATTGGATAATTAAATGAAAGTGTATGTAATGATGCCAGACCGTTTAGAGAGAGAATGATAAGGGAACAAACAATATCAAGGATCATAGGTAAACGCAGAATGGTGGATTTGTTTAGACAGTATCAAAGGGGAATTTGTGGAACACCAAGGGGAAAATTAGTTAGCCCGTATATCCAACAGCGCCAGTGTAGAGAAAGCATAAAGAAACTGTACGTACATGGGAGACAAACCTGGCAGAATTGTACGGGCACAGACCCGTTCACGAGAGACGGGGGTGCAAGCGCTGCTGACTCGACTGTCCGTAACCCGCTGGCTGTACGTTAGACGTCGGCGCTTAAGTCGACGTTCACGTTTTTCTTCTGCCGACATCTAGCGGTCTAGATAAGTAAAGCGCACCATAACCCAACAGTGTCACTAAAAAAGCGCAAAGTGCACACTATATAACCAGCAGTGAAGAAAACTACATCATCTTTACATTCCAGGGTGATGAGCACAAACGGTTTAAAATTCGGTGACAAGCAAGGCCTATGCAAACGGCCAGTAAACCAACGTCAATAACTAAACACAAAAAAGGTTATTGACACCAAACCAACATGAAAACTATTTAACTGACGTTCAGACAAAATGGCCAGGTGTGGGTCGTTCAAAAAAACTGGTAACAAAAGGAAAAAGAATTTCTTTTACAGCTCCAAAGGCATAATACTCTAATGACAACCCAAACTCATAAAACAAAATCTAGGAACATGAACACACCTACATACATCCCCATTAATAATGCACGCACCGTTAAACAAACGAAAACCCCATTTCTTTTTTCAAATTGAGTCTACTTTACAAATGCCCTACTTTGATTATTTCCCCTGCTTCTATTTTGTGGGTTTATGAGGTTTTATATGTCCTCGAACTTCCATTTTTCAAAATCAACAAACTTAACATATTTGTCTTATTCAATTTCTTTATGCAGATGTAATAGAGATCAACACTATTCAATTTGAGTTAACTTTAAGATATTATTGGCAAGTGATGAATATTTTTTTTCAAGAATCTTTCTGTGTGTATTTCTATTTATTGTTTATCTTTTTTCGTGAACTTCAACTGCTCTATCTTTAAAAAGGGAAGATACTAAATTTAAACTCATGCACCCTATATTATATTATAATATAATTTACTGGAAAAACTGGGCATTACCTTTTTTTGACAAAATGTTTTTAAAATTTATGCAAAGTAGCTTTACTTTAGGTTGTGGCTGGTTCAAGCTGTGAAGAAACTCGTTTAGGTAAAAGTAAAAAATCTGCATGCTTTCCTGCAAAGGACAAGTGAGGAGTTTCTGGTAATACTCTTGCTCTGTTGTAGCCATGGAGAATGACTACCACAGGTTCAGAGAAGGTTCAAAGTGTCTACCACAGGTTCAGAGAAGGTTCAAAGTGTCACTGGGAATCTATGAAACTCTTCTATCCGAAGGTATTCTATTTTTTTGGGTTTTAGATGCCAAAACCATACATAATTTCGTGAAAGAATTCCCATACTGCTGCAGGTTGCATTAGCTTCTACTAATGACAATCGTCAATATGTTTCTTAGCTTTCTGAACAGGTATGTCATATGATGTTGGGAGTTGATGTTACATCTATCTTTGTTCCTTTTTATAACAATTTGGTTTTGTCCTTGAGTACTTCATAATGCACTCATTGGAACTTTGTATATAGATTTAGAAGCAGTATATTTTCTCTTTCATGGAGCCTGTCACAGGGTAATACACATAATACTAAGGGTAAAAATCTTCCCTTTCTCATTTATCATGTAACTTTGGTTTTAGCTTTTCACATTCAATTCTTCAAATAGTTTGGGGGAGTTTTTGGTTGGAAGAAAAGATTATCTTGGAAAATGTTGTACATTACCACCACCACCAGCAGATAAGAAAAGGGTTGGACCACGAGGTAAGTTTTGAGATGTTTGAGACTTTGTCTAATTGATCTCTTATTGTCTTATTTGTTTCTTATTTGAATAATTGACAATGTTCTATTATATTTTCTAATTCATTGCTTTTTGGGGCGTCTAAAAAAATTTATAGCTTTGGGCAGGTTTGGTTTAATCTGTCACCCGATTTAGTAACATGAAGACACTCACATACATCCCCATTATTAATGCAAGCACTGTCAAACAAACGAACACCCCACATAAAACAATATTCAAACACCAACACAGCACAACTAAAAGACACAGGAACTTAAAAGTTATGCATAGGAACATCAGAGGCTTACAATTTCAGCAACTCCAAGGAATGCAGCAGGAACACCTAACACCAGGAAACAACAGTCAACCATAGTCAAAACCAGAAGGCAAACTTTCAAACCCAGTTTCTCAAATTAACACACAGACACAGCACCCAACACACAGCAGCACCCCAGGAGGAGCAGCTAACAAGGCCGCCACCCCGACCATGGTCACATGGTTCGCAGAAGATTCGAAACGGGAACGGGGAACGGGAACGCGGTTCGCTGGATCTAGCGTATCCGGTTCGAAGGGGGTACGTTCATCCCGGTACGCGTTAGGTACGGTGTACCACATGTTTAGTACGCTGTATATTATATTTTGGTACATATATAAAACTGAATTTCATAACTCATAACATTAATCAAAAACCTGTATATTATATTTTGACACATATTAAACTGAATTTCATATTTCATAACTCATAACATTAATAAAAAACCTGTATATTATATTTTGACACATATAAAACTGAATTTCATATTTGTAAATGGAGATCAAAAGGTGTAAAAGCATTTCGTATTTCATATTTGTAGTCAAACTGAATTTCATATTTGTAAACTCAATTCCAAAGGTCAGCTTTTAAAGTCCCCCGTTTTGAAAAAATGGAACCCTATAGTCATATAACCTATATTATGATTCATAATTATTCAGCATTTCGGCATATCGATGCAGAGCCTCCAAGGTGTGGTTGCGATCTTTGTGGTCGTATGTACTATCCCTTTGAATTCTAAAATCCACTGTACTGGGTATGACTATGACTATTTGAGGCAGCAACCTCCCTGAGTCCCCGACTTCCCAAAAAAATCCCAGAAAATAAGCGCTCCAACGCAGTACACACAACGATGGAACACAGAGGGAGAATAAATAAAAAAAAATAAACAGCAAAGACACTTACAGTCTCGCAAGAACAGGCCAAGATCTTGGCAAACAGCACCAGAGGAAAAGCGAGCGCAGACGATGAGATAAGGATCAAAATGAAATGATTTCACTCCATCTTGAACGCACAGAGATAAGTGGAGGAGGTTGGACCGTGTGACCGTGTCAGAGAGATATTTCTCGTGTCTCAATCAGCCCAACTTTAATCGATTTATCAGCTGGATTAGCCCAACTTTAATCGATTTATCAGCTGGAATATTTTCCCTGGCAAGCTGAGGTCGCGCTGGCCGAAAGAAGAGGGAAGCAGACGGAAGCCTCCCGTTAGTTGATCGCTGCGCAAAAAGAAGACGTCCGCGGGCCTGTAGCAACGGAAAAATGCCCAAGTTAACATCCTTTCACAATTTAAATATAAGTAGATATATATATATATATATATATATATATATATATATATATATATATAGATTTAGGATCACATACAAAGTCATCTTAATTTACAAAGTGCAAATTAATCCTAGCCATACATTTCAATGAGATTATTCGTGTATTAATGTGGAAGATCCTAAAATTTCTCTAAAGCTCCCTAATCACGTGGAGTTGAAAAAGATGGGGATTACTTCCCCCCACTAACGGCTGGTAGTTAATGGCCTAATGAATTGTTGCCATTGATTTTGTAATTTTGGATGGATGAGATGAATTTGTATTTTGTACCGGAAGCATGCTTTGTATGTGATCTTAACCCCATATATATATATATATATATATATATATAAAGAAAATGTTGTCCTAAATATTTATTACTCTTAATAGCTACCAAAAATGTTCTACAGAACGAAATGAGCATCAGAACTCCACCCCTCCTCCAATACACATCCATGAACATCAGCCTCCCCCTCTTGCCACTCCAAAATGCCCGCCTTGACCTCCTCTCATGATCTTCAACCACAGATAAAATCTAGAGGACAATAAGAGCACCTCTAAGATCGGGACAACAACAGAACGACATACATATAGTTTCTGAACACACTCATATTCAGACCTTGACTCCGGCAAACCCCTCTCGTCTATACTCTATAACCTCAATGTTTAGCCTAGGCATCTATTTTGCTAACAGCTTGCAAGCTCTGAAAGTGACAGGACAAGAAGACATCCAAAGGGATCACATTGTGTCCAGCTTTGCAGCATTAGCCGAGAGTGCCTTATCCTAAAAGGGGCAGACTCTAATCTAAAGCTTCCAAAAACTGTCACACCCGGATAACACACAGTGATCGTTCTTGCATTTATTTACTACGCATTACATGATTTGGTTTCAGATCTGATTTCTTCTTCCTGTTGTGCAACTCAACACATAGTTCATAACGTTTTTTTTTCCTGTCTTATCTCGGCATCATACTTTAGAACAAACATATTCATCCCCTAATTACTTTTTAGAGGAAGAGCTTTGTGGTTGAGATTTTGCCGGAGAGATGCTCTGTCATCCGTTTGAGAAGAAGATACGGGAGATGAGTTGCTGGGGATTGATAATCCTCCATCTTCGAACTAAAACAAATCCATGGACACCCAATCCTGACCATGGAATCCCCTGTATCGGCTCTCCTTCACCAATATAGGGAAGAGAAACCGTAATTCAAAGTGTGATATATATTTTATCTCCAATGCATTCTTTTATGAGCTCTTTTACTATGACATGGAAACGACACTTTCAAGCTCACTGTTGAATTTCCCAAAGAGCTTCTCACGCTGTGAAGCTTCCCGCTCACACACAACCCCGTGAAAAAAATCGAAAAAATAGTACGTTCGTAGTACATGACCTGCAGATTTATGCGCTTCGTGGTAGAAGAAGAATTGATCAAAATCAATTTGGACGAGTTATTATTAAATACCTTGTGAAGAATTCATCCAATAGTCCAATTACAGGTGGAAGATTGGCTGCGTAAGATTGAATGACGTATATAACTTTTGCGGAGGTTTAGTACTCGTATTTTAATTTATAATTTACTTCGTATAATACGAAGTATTAAATATGAAAACTATATAATATTTAATGTGTTAACATCGTGCATTGGAGACCTCTTATTATTTTCTTTTGATGTATAGCTTGTATGGATAAACATTGCTTTAATTAAATGACATTTGACAAAATTTACCTTCACTTGAAAGAAGAGCATTGGAGATGCTCTAGGTATGACATTATTTTCTTAAATGACATTTGACAAAACATGTCTACTAAGGATGTTTTCTTTTGGACTGAAATTTGTTGGTCTGGTCTGATCCGGTCTGATCAGGTCTGTTTAAGTCTGGTCTGGTATGGTCTGGTAAACGTCTGGTTTCTGTGTATTTTATAACTATCCAAGTCTGGTCTGGTCTGGTTTGGTTTGTTTAAGTCTGGTTTGGTCTGGTCTGTTTAAGTCTGGTCTGATCTGGTCTGGTCTGTTTAAGTCTGGTCTGGTCTGGGACTGAAAACCGTCCAAAAGAAAACATCCTAAATATTTTATTATGATATTAGAGTCGAAAACCTGATAGCCTAACGTGATGACGGTTGGAGACGAAGAGGGCAGCGGTGGTCAGACCCTGACCATTGACTGCATGTGACCATATAATATTATCAATTTTGCATGTAGAAATATTAATTCATTCCTACGCTCTTCAAACAATGTCTTTCCTGATTCAATGATGGCCTTAGGTGGACCTCTAGATTATGGTTATTATTATTAAGGACTTTTCGATAGACCTATTGAATTTTATATTAAAATCTGATTTATTGTAGTCCAATCTAGTTTATTTAAAAGTGATTTTGTCACACATTAACATTAGTCCAAGTGAAAATATCATAAGAAAGTCCCATGAGATAAGGGTTACCTAGTACCTACATATATCATATACGGAGTATGTCGGTTTGAACAAATAAAATATGATCCACCATCATATATATATATACTCTTTAAAGTATTAAACATAAACACTCATCTCAACATATGCTCAGAAAAGTACACTCAAACGACTTATTATCAAACATAAATTGATGAACTCTGAACACACATCCAGAGAACTGTTTTCACAAACATGAAAAAAACACTCCGAAATAAACTTATAGGATGAGCACATTCCCAGAAACGTTTGTCAAGAAACTTTCCAGCCAAAAATATGCACTCCAACTTTATTGATAATTCTTGAACACGGTGAAACAAGCCATCATCTAGCGAGCCCTGATTGAGACTGAACCCGGAAGAGACGTACATGCATCCACTAACTTAAGAAGCTAATTAACATCCCGGTTTTGGATTATTTGCAAAACTGAAACATGCAAGAAAAGAAAATCAGCCACTAAATATATAGTCCTCACAAGAATAAAAAATTAAAAAAAAACAAATTGTGAGTGTAATTTCTTATATTTTTCGTCTGTGACATTGAATTTTAATTACACAATTTGTTTTATTTATCCAAATTAGGGAGACATCAAATAATTCGCTGAAAGATCGAGTGTCAAGTGTTTATGAAACATGTGCACATTTAGAATATATATATATAGAGTGCTCTTCTCATCAGGCCGGCCTGACGGGATGCTCCGTCCGGCCGAGCCCATTTGGGCACCTTCCCGGTGGAATTTTTTGATGAAATTTTTTGAGCATGTTCCTCATCAAGTCTAGTTTGTCCATACCAAATTTCAGCTCCAAATTCGATCGGGAAGGTCGTCAAATGATTTTTGCAACTTAACTGGTCTGGAATATGTATTTTCCGGACCAGTTAACTTGCAAAAATCATTTGACGACCTTCCCGATCGAATTTTGAGCTGAAATTTGGTATGGACAAACTAGACTTGATGAGGAACATGCTCAAAAAATTTCATCAAAAAATTCCACCAGGAAGGTGCCCAAACGGGCTCGGCCGGACGGGGCAGCCCGTCAGGCCGGCCTGACATGAAGTTTCATCTATATATATATATATATATATATATATATATATATATATATATATATATATATATATATATATATATAGAATATATATATTGATCTCTTCCATTCATTTTTTCACATCAATGGCCAAGATTAGTTCTTATTTTTCACATATGAAGTACTTTTTATTTGAACCAAATTATGTCATCAAAAACTTATAAACACCAATCATAGTTAGGGCATTTTAGGA